GAGTCTGCAATAGACCTGAAAGGGGGCTGTGGCTGGCACTTCCAGGAGAGGAAGGTCAGCCTGAGCAATATAGTGAGACCCCCATCTCAAAGAGGGGTTCTTCAGAGAAAGAGAAAATAAATGGTGAGGGTGCAGAGAAACGGGACCTTGAGTGTCCTGTTGATGTGACTATAGATTGATAGAGCTATCATGGAGAAAGGTATGGGAATTCCTAGAGATATTAAAAAGAGAGCTACCGTGTGACTCAGCAATCATCTTCTGGATATATACCTGAAGGAGGTAAAATCACTTCCTTTATATCTACCTACTGGTTTATCTATAGTGTGAAATAGTATTCAGCCTTTAAAAAGAAGATCCTGGACAGGGGATATAGCTCAATTGATAGAGTGCTTGCCTCACATGCACAAGGCCCCGGCGTTCAATTCCCAGCACCACACACACACACACACAAACACAATAAATAAAGAAGATCCTGCCATTCACAGCACCAATGAACTGGGAGGACATCATGTTAAGTGAAATAAGCCAGACACAGAAAGAAAATGACCATATAAGTGAAATTTTTAAAAAAAGGAAAAAGCTCAAGCACACAGAGTGTTGCCACGTTCAGGGAGCGGTACTGCAGGAAGTAGACGCCATATGTAAGAAGACAAAAGAGCAGACTGAAGAATGAACAAGTTCAGAGATCTGACATCCAACATGATGTTTCTAAAGTTAATAAAACTGTGTCGGAGATCTTTGTTAAAGAATGGGTTTTAGCTGGGCATGGTGGTGCACTCCTGTAATCCCAGAGGCTTGGGAGGCTGAGACAGGAGGATGGCAAGTTCAAGACCAGCCTCAGCAACTTAACAAGATCCTGTCTCAAAATAAAAAGGCTGGAGATGTGGCTCAGTGGTTAAGCTCCTCTAGGTTTAATCCCCAGTAAACAAATAAAATTGTATTGGAATACAGCTCTCCCCCCACACTAGTATTCTTTACATAGGATTAGGTATCAGTAAGACCCACCTGAAAGGCTCATTCTTCATATTAAATGAGATGATTAATATAAAATTCAGAGCACACTCTGCCCACACTCCATACATTATTTATTTAAGTCTAATTTATAATTTAAATTCACATTACTGCAGTCTCCTCACCATCCATCTGCCCCATCTCCTTCCTCCCCTGGATTCTACAGGATATCCGAGTTTATCATGAACACAATCCTTCTAGCTGAGACTGAGGCTGGCAGGGTCTCTCTGTGAAAAATAAGTTGCCTGGGAGAAAAACCCACTGAAACTTTTCTAGCAGTTAGTGCATCTGATCTAGTGGGGATGGCAGGCTAACTGCAAGTTGCGGATAGAATGGAAAGAGAAGATGACAGCATTTCCAGGGGATAAATATCCTAGGAAGTCCAGACCATGAAAAAAGAGACTGAATTCAGGCCCTAAATCAGGAGAAAGACCAAAAACAATGGCGTAAAGATGCAAAAAAGATGTACATCTGAGTACTCAAAAGTTCTGATTATTACCACACCAATTTCTCTAAATCCATGTTTAGCAGTATCATCTTTGTATATCTCACTTTTCTACGCTGCTTTCAGATGTTCTGCCTCCCCAAGTGTGTGCATGCACATAGTATACATGTATTTGCTTTATTTCATATATGTTTTCTCACTTGTAGGTGTACTGTTCCATGAAAAACTTCTGTCATGTGTTTTATTTTTTCTACTAATTTCAAGTTCTCCACTTTGGTAATAGAAATTTTTTTAATTACTTTATTTATTTTTAAATTTCCTGATGCCAGGGATGGAACCCAGGCCTTGCATGTGATAGGCAAGTAGTGTGTTACACTCCCAACCCAACTGGCTCTTATAACCAGGGCTTCTGCATCTTTGTTATGAGGCCCGTCTTTGCAGTCATCTGTACCACCTGGGCCAAGGAATATACAATTACAAGAATTTCCTCCCCAAGAAAGTTCTGACCAAGGGCCTCTCCCCAGGTTTGCACATGGGAAGCAGAGGGCCAGGCCATGTGCAGCAGGGACTCAAAACAAATTGAAATGCACGGACAGGTTTGCATGGCTGGGCCACACAAAGCCCATGCAGCCACTCCTTTCTCACTTTGACCTTGGAAAACACACACGCTAACCGCCAGAAGCAACCTCTGCTTACCAGGAGAGAAGGAAAGAGGAGAAAGAGGAGTTCAACTGTGCAAATTAGATATAAGGATTTTATGCTTCTCCAACTCAACGTCTGGGGAGTCTTTCTAGTGTGCTTTCTACTGTTTGTATGACTAAGTATGTGGTTCAGAAGAGCTCCTAAGGTTTTTGAAAACGTCAGTCTGCTCTGACTTCTGGCAGGGCAGCTGCTAGAACGCACTGCGTTTATAGACGTGCCAGGTCTCCATTCTTTTGAAGTGCTGGCGTTTGCAGCCCATTGTTAAATAAGGCTCTGCTTCCCGTCTGGCAGAGCAAGCCTCCTGTCTGTCTTCCTTGGGGACCCAACAGGAAACGCAGGCCTGTGGTCCCCAGAGGAAGCAGGCCCAGGATCTGAGCTCCAATTGTACAAAGCAGATGAGCCATTGAGGTGGGAGGGAAAAGAAGTGTTCTCCTCTAAATGAAGAGCCCCTGCAAACAAAAAGGACACCTCCGCATTGGTTGATTGAAAAGAATTGAAACAGAGTGCCATCTTGCAGGCCTGTTATTTCAGTTACTTGGAAGTCTGAGGCAAGAGGTTCATAAACTTGAGGCCAGCCTAAGCAACTTAGTAAGATCCTGACTCAAAATAAAATAAACACACAGGGCGGGGGAGATGGCTGTTTTGGTCAGCCTTTTTTGCTGCTGAAAGACTCGACCAGAACAACAGTAGAAAAGGATAGGTTTATTTAGGGGCTCACAGTTTCAGAGGTCTCAGTCCAAAAGTGGCTGGCTCCATTCCTTGGGGGTCAAGTTGAGGCAGGACATCATGGTGAAAGAGTGTGGCAAAGGGAAGTCGCTCACATGATGATCAGAAAGCAGAGAGAAACTCCACTCTCCAGATACACACTATGTACACCGTAGCCCTGCCCCCAGTGAACCACTTCCTCCAGCCACACCCCACCTGCCTCTAGTTACCACTCAGTTAATCCCATCAGGGAATAATTCCCGGATTAGGTTAAAGATATAACCCAATAATTTCTCCTCCAAACCTTCTCGCACTGTCTGCACATGAGCTTTTGGGGGACGCTACATCTAAACCATACAGTGGCTAAGTGGTATATGACAAAGCTGGTGTCTTTTTCTTTCTTTCTTACATTCTTTCCTTTTCTTTTTCTGTGCTTGAATGGAACACCCAGAGCCTCACTCTTGCTAGGCAAGTGTTTTACTGCCTTTTTTTTCTCTTAATAAAAGCCACAATCTAGAGGGGACTTTTTTATACATCCTTATATAATTTAAGAGGAAAACAGCTTTATTCTGTTTGCTATAATTAGTATGCAATATTTTTTTTTTGAGAGAGAGAGAGAGAGAGAATTTTTTAATATTTATTTTTTAGTTTTCGGCGGACACAACATCTTTGTTTGTTTGTGGTGTTGAGGATTGAACCCAGGCCGCACGCATGCCAGGCGAACGCGCTACTGCTTGAGCCACATCCCCAGCCCAGTATGCTATAATTAAAAAAAATTTTTTTTTGGTTGTTGATAGACTTTAAAAAAATCATTTATTTATTTGTTTTAAATGTTTATTTTTTAGTTGTAGTTGGACATAATACCTTTATTTTATTCATATATTTTTATGTGGTGCTGAGGATCTAACCCAGGGTCTCACATGTACAAGGGGAGCGCTCTACCGCTGAGCCACAACCTCAGCCCCCAAATTTTATTTATTTATATGCAGTGCTGAGAATCGAACCCAATGCCTCGCACATGCCAGACAAGTGAGCTACTTCTGAGCCCCAGCCCCAGCCCCAGCCCCACAGTATGCTATAATTTTAAAAACTAGTTTTCTCTTATTTTTTATTCAAAATTATTTTAACTGGCACATAAGATATAAACATTGTACATATTAATGGGATATCATGTAATGTTTTGATACATGTATATGCATTGCATTAATGTTTAAATCCAGTTAACCATGTCTATCACCTCAAATATTTATCATTTCTTTATAGTGCAAACTTTCAAAATCCTTTCTTCTTGCTTTTCAAATCACTCTACTGTGCAATGGTTCATCAGAACTTCTTGCCCTTATCTTCAATATAACTTAGGATCATTGGTCAGTCTCTCCTCATCTGACCCTTACTATCCCTGGCCTCTGGTAATCACCATTCTGCTGTTTCTTAAATAATTATCTTAATGAAATTCACCCCCACCCCCACCCCCAACACACACAGTGGGAACCCAGCCTAGTGGCACTCTATCACTGAACTGCATCCCCAGCTCTTTTTTATTTTGACAAGGTTTTGTTTAGTTGCTGAGGCTAGCCTCAAATGAGATCCTCCTGCCTCAGCCTCCCAAGTAGCTGGAATTACAGGAGTGCAACTCTGGGCTTGGCTTTCTGAATTTTAAATGAAAATTCTACCTCCAGTGGGGTTGTTCCAATTGGGGAGAGTGACTATGCACAAAAGACTGTTTTAACCACATTGTTACTTGAGAGAGATGCTTTTATAGACATGAGCCACAGTTGATGCATACATGCGTGGGCCTCAAAGGCATCAATATGAGAATCTCAGAGTCCAAACAGTGGCTGTCTGTCCCGGGGCACAGTTTTCTAGCAAGACTAGCTAAGACGCCATGGTAGATTTGAGGCTGTAAATTCTGGAGAATTAAACCACGGGGAAGGGGAAAAGCTGACGTCCCCTACCTCTGGTTCTTCTCCCCTGCCCCTCCTCCTGCAGATCAAGCCTCACCCTCGTGATTCCTCGTGGCCTTTGCAGAGGGCGCACAGCCCCCCCAACCCTGGCGCCTTTTCTGCAAGCACCAGGGGGTTAGGTGGGGGAGAGGCCCAGGGCACATGATGTCCCCCTCCCTCAGCCCGCCCGGCACATGACCTAGGCCGGCCAGCGGGGTCCTGGCAGACCCGAGCCGCATCCCGGAGCTGGCCCATGGCCTCCCCGCGCTTGGGGACCTTCTGTTGTCCCACTCGGGACGCTGCCACGCAACTCGTGCTGAGCTTCCAGCCGCGGGCGTTCCATGCGCTGTGCCTGGGCAGCGGCGCGCTCCGCCTGGTGCTCGGCCTCCTGCAGATGCTGCCCCGGCGCCGACCCGCCGGTCCCGGGGCCCCTTCCACCTCTCCGCCTGCCTCGGCCCGCATCCTGAGGGCCGCTGCTGCTTGCGACGTCCTCGGCTGCCTTGGTAAGGGGGCGGCCCACCGCTGGGACACACTTAGTGCTGGGTGGAGGGAGCGCGGTGGCCCGGCGACGGAGACCTGCTCCGTGCCCAGCCGGTGCCAGGGCTCGCGCGTCTGAGCACTTCTAGCACCAAGCCAGGAGCTGGAGGTCTTTTCATTCCAGAAACTACTCTGGACGACTAGGGGATTCTGCAAAGCAAGAGGGAAAAGTTCAGGCCTAAGGATCATTGCTTGTAGTTTGAAAAGCGTTCATTGTGTGTGTCATTGCAAACTTATTAGAAAAACCTCGTACAATGTTGTTAAGGAAAGTCTAGAAAATAAGACGGGTGCATCCAGCAGAGACCACCAGTTAACATGTGTGGCGTGCACACCTTGCTATTTGTACCTACTTTGTACCATATCTTCTTTTGTGCGTTATTTATTTTTTTACCTGAACCCTTCCTTTTGCAGCGCTGGGATGAACCAAGAGCCTCAGGCAGGCCCTACCACTGTGCAATGTCCTTGGGCTGCCCCAGGTTTGCTTTTTACCCAGGTGTGCCAAGTGTAGGCTGCAGAGCAAACCCCTTCTGCAGAGCGTTTTCTGTTTACATTTTAAAATGATTTTTTTTTTTAAATCGAAGCAGATTTGCTGACATGTGAATAGACATGAATTTAAGTGTTAGTGTCCATAAATAAAGTTTTACAGAACAGGGCTAGGCTCTGCATTTCACTTCATCTAGGACCAGATCTGCTCTACCAGAACACGGTGGAATACTGGGCAGAGAAAGTATCACCACAAAGCCAAAGATGTTTACTATCAGCCCTCAAAGGAACAATTTTGCCAAATTCTTCTTTAAGCATGACACATTTTATAGAATCTGCTTTAAACTATAGCATGACACATTTTATAGAACTCTACAGTTGAGTTTTGCCATTTTGTTTAACTTTTTGTTGGAAAGTTCCCAACATACATCAATGTAGATATGATATATAAACAACCATCATGGATCCTCACGTACTCTCCCTGTACTTGCCCTTCTCCCTCCTTACTGGCTTAATTTGAAGCACATTTCAGACTTCATGTCATTTCATCCATTCAGATCTGAGTATAGAGCACTAAAACATAAGAACTCTATTTATTTGTTTATTTTTGTGGTCCTGGGGATTAAACTCAGGGCCTTGCACATGCCAAGCAAATGCTGTATTCCTGAGCTACATCCCCAGACTTTCCCTCTCTACCTTTTAAAACTTTTTTCAAGAAATACAAAGCAATTCTACTGGCAATTCCTTTATGGTCTTATTTAGTAACTTTTTCTTACTTTTCACTTAAAAAGCTTCTATTTCCCTCTCTCTCTCTCTCTCTCATTTGGTTCACAAAAAGATTCCTTTATTTCTGGGAGGTAATTTTGGGTTCCAGTATTCCTAGCATCATCTTCTCTCTTATCCACTGTCAAGGGAGGGCTACCAGAGTGTGGGTTTCAGCACAGCCCTGATTAGATGAGAAAAGGCAAGAATAAAAATGCTGCTATGGCTGGGCATGGTAACCCATGCCTATAATCCCAGCAACTGGGGAGGCTGAAGCTGAATAACGACAAATTTGAGCCCAGCCTGAGCAATTAGTGAGAACTTGTCTCAAAATCAAAAGGACTGGGGATGTAGCTCAGTGGTAGGTTGCCCCTAAATTTAATCTTCAATCCTTAGTACCACCAAAAAACAAAACCAAATGCTGATTGGGGTTTTTAAAACAGGTTGCTGGTATAGCGGTGCATGCCTGGGAGATTGAGACAGGAGACTTGGAAATTTAAGGCCAGCCTGAACAATTTAGCAAGGTCTGTCTCATACAAATAAACAAAATCCAACCCTTTTTAAAAATGTTATTTGATACAGAGTCTTGCTAAGTTGCCCAGGCTGGCCTCAAATTTGTGATCCTCCTGCCTCAAACCCCTAAGTCACTGAGATTACTGGTGTGTACTACTGGGCTCAGCTAAACATAGAATTTTAAGCATATTTAACCCTGGTGTTATTATCAATTTAAAATAATTAAAAGCAATTTCTTAATGTTGCCAGTGTTTGTTCAGTTGTCCCATAAATGTTATTTTATAGTGGGTTTGTTCAAGTAAACACTCACATTCTGCCCACATTTTGTAATTACTTGATGGTGTTGACCTTGTTGGAACTTTTTTTTTTTTTTGTAATGTTTATCTTGAGGCAAAGCCTATGAAGCCTGTATTAACTGCCTTATGTACCCTACTTTGAGCTGGTACCTGGACACAGGTGTTGTGTATCCCAGGACCCATTTCTGTTCTGTCCTTTTGCCCAGAGTGATAAAAACATGATTGAAGACCCCCCCAGACCTTGACTTTAAATAAATACTATGTAACCTCAAGTCATTTTCTCAGACTTGAAGAATACGCCAGGAAAGGAATTTTTCCTTTCTATTAGGGATAAAATCATTTTGGTGCAGGATTATTCAATGAAACATTGGTTTTCTTCCTGATTCCACTAAGTCATTTTTTTTTAGGAAGAGATCTTAATAGTAGTTTATTTCTGTTACTTGAATATCTGGAAATAAAGATCTAACCAAATATATTTTCAGAGTTGGTGGAAGAGCATCGTGTCCTTCAAAGAGGGAGGTGGGAGATGTTGTAGGAAAATGAGCAGAAGTTAGCAGAAGGCCAGGTGTGTTGTTGTTAGCAGTGGCTAGATAGTGGGAAGGTGTATGTTAAGCTTTCTAGTGTTCATAGATCTCCTTTAATAGCATAATAAATAGCACATGTATGCTTAGTTGTGTTACAAGTACCTATGTATTCAGTGGTGTACTAGTAGGATTTTCATTGCTATGACCAAAAGACCTGACAAGAGCAGCTTAAGAGGAGGAAAAGTTTATTTTAGGGCTCATGGTTTCAGAGGTCTTAGTCCATAGATGGCTGACCCCATTCTTTGGGGCCTGAGGTGAGACATCAGGAGGTGAGACATCATCATGGCAGAAGAGTATGGCAGAGGAAGGCTGCTCAGGACTTGGCACCAGGAAGGAGAAAGAGAGAGATAGACTTCCTTCATCACAGACAAAATAGAAACCCCAAAGGCACACCCCAGTGATCCACCTCCTCCAGCCACACCCTACCTGCCTACAGTCACCACCCAGGTAATCCATATCAGGGGATTGATGCCCTGATTAGGTTAAGGCTCTTATAACCTAATCATTTCACCTTTACACTTTCTTATACTCTCTCACACATGAGTTTTGTGAGATACGTCATACCTAAATCATAACAGGATACATTTAAACAAAGGGCATTGCATTACTTTGCAAAGAGCTGTAATGTATACCATAAGTGTGTGTGTGCTAATTGAAGAATGTTAAATATTTGAACCTAATAGCAAGGAAAACTCACAGATAATAAATGTCCAAAGCAAAGTACTGAGATCTAATTTTTGAAAATTTTATATGTATTTTCCAAAAGAATGAAGGAACTATACATTTAAGCTTCAGAATTGTGCTTTGTAAGTAATTCTCTATGTAAGGAATAATTGACGTGAACATTAAAAGTATAGCTAAGAAATACAAGTTGCTATTTACATAAACACTTTGTAATGCCAAGTCAACAAGCAAACAAAAAATTGGGGACAAGCTTGTGGCTGATGTTGCTTTCAATTGAAATGGAAGTGCCTGGGATCGCTTTGCCAATATAAGATGGGTTTTCTGAATAACAGTTCTTCTTCCTTCCCCTTCCCATTCCTCCTCCTCCTCCTCTTCATTTTCTCCTCCTCCTTCTCCTCCCTTTTTTCTGAACACGTGAACATGTTTTTCCCTCTCTCCCTCCATCCTTCCTTCTTTTCTGTCCCTTTCCTCCTTCTTTCCTTTCTTTCTCCTCCTTCTCTCCTTCCCTTCCTCTTTCCTGCTCGCTCTCTTCCTGTTTCACTCATATGTAGTACTAGCTATCATTTTTACAAAGTAACAAGTCAGCTTTAGATGTGAATTAGAGTCAGATGCCTTAGAGTCCATCTACGTCTCTCTCTTTTTTTAAATATTTATTTTTTAGTTGTAGTTGGACCCAAGACCTTTATTTTATTTGTTTATTTTTATGTGGTGCTGAGGATTGAACTCAGAGCCTCGCATGAGCTAGGTGGGCACTCTGCCGCTAAGCCACAGCCCCTTATCTACTTCTCTATTAGGGATCATCCTTCGGTCGGCAGTGTGGCTGGGATTCCCAGATTTCGTTGAAAACATCTCTGATGGGAATGGAACAGACATTTGGCCTGCTGCTTTCTGTGTTGGGAGCGCGGTGAGTGCCCCCTCTCTCTGCATGCTCTCCTCCCCACCTCTGTGCCTGTTGCGCTGTGGTCCCCAAAGTGAGCAGCAGCAACCTCTGGGAGCCTGTGAGGAATGCAGATTCTCAGGCTGTGCACCAATCTACAGATGAGGAAGCCTGGGGTGGGGCCTGGCCAGCGCTGTATTGTCACAAACTCTCCAGGGCTTATATCCATAAATCATTAAATAAATAAGTAGATCACACACACACACACACACAAAACACACTATGCTGCACCTCATTTTATTGGTGCTCACGAGAAGGGCTTAAATTGTGCAAATGTAGACGTTGAATCACTGGGTCTGGAGCAGAATTCCCAGTTCCTTTTGTTCTTTTCTTCCCTGACCTCTGCTTCCTAACTGCACCTCATGAGGCCTCCTCTCAGCCCACAGCAGGGAGGCGCAGACCTCTCCTGCTGCAGTTAATACCTCCAGCCTCTTTCTCACCCCTTCTCCTCCAAGGGACTTTCCAAGTGCCACGTGCCCACAAAGAGCTTCTACTTCAAAGCCCCCATTGATCTTTCATGCCTACAAGCATACCAAATGCGAGGTGGGGGTGGGGGTCCTTAGTCAGATCCTGCTAAGCAGAGGACAGATGCACAAGTCCTTCTTGGGCCACAGCCCACCCCTGTCCTAGAGACTGTCTGCATATGTCCCTGAGCTCACATGGGCTTCTCCTTGATGTCAGAAGAAGCCCACATCTGCCATCTCATTTCACGGAGGAACTGGAGGCCTTGTGTGTTTCCAGAATCTTTGATGCTGAGTTCTTGCTGTTTACAGATGTGGATCCAGCTGTTGTACAGTGCCTGTTTCTGGTGGCTCTTCTGCTACGCGGTTGATGCCTATCTTGTGATAAGGAGATCGGCAGGACTGAGGTATCCACTGGGCACAGAGGTCTGCCTGGTTTTGTTTTATGAGCAATATTAGGAGATGCCATTGAGTATTCAAAGGTGGGTTGCAGAGTGGCAGACACTGTCTGTCAGTCTGGCAGCTGGCTCCCACACCCAGAAACATCTATGGTGGCTCATTCTCAGGCCAGAAGCCAATTCAAAATATTGAAGTTTTCAGGGCTGGGAACATGGCTTAGTGGTAGAGCATTTGCCTAACATGTACTCATGGTTCAGTCCCCAGCAATGCAAAAAACAAACAAAAAACCACTTAAAATGCTGAGGTTTTTAAAATCTTGACAATAAGTAACTCAAGAAATTAAATATTTGAGGGATAGGGGAGGGGGTGCTTGATGGTAGGTCACACTCTTGTGCAAGGCCCTGGGTTTAATCCCCAGCACCAAAAGAAAAAAAAAAAAAGAAATTAAATATTTGGAACTGGACACGTTAAAAATGAAAAGAAAGAAAAAACTGGTGTGAATATAAACAAGTTGTGTGTGGGGAGGTACTGGATATTGAACCAGGGGATTTCTACTGAGCTATACCCTCAGCCCATTTATTTTGAGATAGGGTCTTGCTAAGTTTCTTAAAATTCCCAGGCTAGCCTTGAACTTGCCTTCCTCCTGCCTCCCCAAGAGGCAGGGATTACAGGTGTGTGTCTCTGTGCCCTGCTGAATTTAGACAAATTTTTAAAATTTTCTTTTAATTTTGTTTTGGTACTGGGAATTAACTATACCACTGAACTATATCCCCAGCCATTTTTATATTTTGAGATAGGGTCTTGCTGAGTTATTTAGGACCTCATTAAGTTGCTTAGGGCCTGAATTACTGAAGCTGGCCTTGAACTTGTGATCTTACTGCTTCAGCCTCCCGAGTTGCTGGGATTATAGGAGTGTGCCACTGTGCCCAGGTATGACAATTTTTCACTGTACATCAAAGACTGTATGAAGAACTACTTCTGTATATATTGACATCTTATATTAAAAGTGGAACAGATGAGGGCTGGGGCTGGAGGTGTTTGTCTGGCAAGGTCTCACACAGAGGTTGGTGCCTTGGGCATAGGTAGGTTTGAGCTCCTGCTCAGGCACTCACTGTGTAACTGGTACCCACTGCATAAGATCACTGGAAAGAGTAACATCAATCAAACATGTAAATGGATTAGAATAGTGCCTGGCACATGGTGGGGGCTCAGTGTATCTGAGCTGTTACTGTCTTTGGGATGTTGACCATATAGCAACACCCAGAACCTAATTGACTAAGAGACGTTGGACGTGGCCAAGCAGGGCAAGTGTCCAGGTCTCCTAGCTCTTAAGTCCAGGAGACATTTATTCCCTCCCCTGCCCAGTTCCTGGTCTGTTTCAATCAGAAAGTCCTTGCTTGCCTTTACTTTTTGTCTTTTTTAAAAATGGGTTTATAAAGTTACACGTTTTTAAAAATATTTTTTTAGTTGTCAATGGACCTTTATTTATTTGTTTGTTTATTTATTTATATGTGGTGCTGAGAATAGAACCCAGTGCCTCACACATGTTAGGCAAGTGCTCTGCCACTGAGCTACAACCCCAGCCCCTAAAGCCACACATTTAACAGTAAAATCAAGTGGTTTTCAGTATGTCGATAGATTTTTTTTTTTTTTTTTTTAGTAATACTGGGGATTGAATCCAGCGGTGCTCTACCACTTAGCTATATACTCCAACCCTATTTTATTATTTTGAGACAGGGTCTCACCAAGTTGCCCAGGCTGGCATTAAACTTGTGATTCCCCTGCCTCAGCCTCCAGAATAGCTGGGATCACAGTTGTATACCACTGGGCACCATTGATATCATCCACTTTACAACTTTGTAATCATCTCCCCCAATCCCTGTACCAGTTATTAGTCATTCCCCAATCTCTTCCCACCTTCCTCCACCCTGGCAACCAAAATTTTTAGACTCTATGGATATGCCTATTCTGGCCATTGTAGATCAATGAAATAATGCAATATAGGACATTTCCTATATGAGCTCTTAAGTTCAGCATAACATATTGCAGGTTTATCTATGTTGTAGTATGTATTAGTACTTCATTCCTGTTGTGGTCTGAGTGCTTATGTCCTCCCCATCCAACAAGTTTGATTTTGAAATTCTCACCCCTAGCTAATGGTGTTAGGAAGTAGGGCCTTGGGAGGCAATGAGGTCATGAAGGTGGAGGCTCATGAATGGATTGAGTGTTCTTATAAGAGGCCCCCCACCCCAGAGCTCCCAGCCTCTTCCACCTGTGAGGACCCAGTGAGAAGGTGTTATCTCTGAACCAGGAAGCAGTCCTCAGTAGACCCTGTGTCTGCCACACCTAGACCTTGGGCTGCAGTCTCCAGAGCCTTGAGCATTCAATGTCTGTTTTTTATAAGCCACCCAGCCTCTGGTATTCTATCATGACAGCCAGAAAAGACTAAGATAATTCCTTTTCATAACTGAATAATATTCCAGTGTGTGTATATACTACATTTTGTTGATCCTTTTAGTGTGTTTTCAGTGCTGGGGATTGACCCCAACAAACTAAGTGTATCAGTGAACATAAGGGGCCTGTTTTCTCCCGAGCCAGCTTTAAAAGGCCTCCCTGAGAGTTTCACACAATGCCACTTGCATAGTATTAGCCAGAACTTAGTTTCTTGGTTGTGCTTAGTTGCTAGAGGACATAGGAAATAGTCTGTTAGCCTACTATGCTGCTCCTCTGTCTAACTTCTGGGTTATGTTATAAGGAAAAGAGGGAGAATGGGTACCTATAGGCAACTAGCAGCAGGAGAAGGCCTAATCCCTAAAGTTGGTACAATTGCTGTGTTCCTTCTGAGAGCCTCTCTCGTCAGTTTTGGGGGGTCAGAGCTATGACACAACTGAAGGTCTCACTGACAGCCAGTAACAGAGATCAGAGGAGCCTGGGAGTTCTGGAAGGAAGCCGGGTGAAGAGCATGCCCCCCACTGTCATTAGAGGTGCATTACTTCACCCCACCCATGGTAGGGCAGGTGGGGGACACAGGACTGGGTTAGAAGGAACAGTGTGAGAACTGTCTGGACTCTCAGGGCAGGCAATCAAGAAGCCCTCCTTGGCACAGGCATGTATTTGGAAATTCATCTTGGAACTCAGTGTTCAAGAAGGCGGGACTCTGGATGCTGGTTAGGCTTCCAAGGACCCGTCCTTATGCAGAAGGTGAACATCCCAGAACATGAAACACCATGCCTTCCAAGGGCAAGAGCAAGGGCAGGTTTCCGCTCCTCAGATGACTGATGGTCGGGAGTGAAATGAGCTCCCTAATCAGTCAGGAGCAGGGCACACAACAGATAAGTAAGAGGTGCTCCGTAGCCGTGAGCACAAAGCCTCACCTGATGCCTGGTGGGAGATGTCCCAGGGGACTCTGCTAGATGGACTTCACCAGGGCTGAGGGTTTAGGTTCCAAAGCTTCGGTAGCTCCATTTTAAGAGCCAGCTTGTTTTCCAGGGCAGCAGGTAGAGTTGGTCCTGAAGATGGCTATTAGGAGACTGCGGCTGGTTGGGCAGGGGGTGTCCTGCTGAATTCCAGGGCAGGGGCCAAACTTTGCAGGTATGGCCCTTTGCCTTGGAGATCCTGTCTTACGTACCTGTTTTCTTTGGCTGGGGAGTTCTTTTAATTCTAATCCTCAGAAACATCATTAAGACAGATTTCAAGTGGAAATTTAAGTGGTTAATTCTGGCTGCCAGTGTGAAACATACCAGTTTTAAATAATAACAGACAGTGTGGTACTTGCGATCTTGGAAATGGCCATGAACTGAAGTCTCTGCTTGCTCTAATAAAATAAGAGTGATATGAAATAATGGCCAAGGAGGATTTACACTCGCCTGGACTTGGAACAATTCAGTGGTTGGATAAGAGAGCAAGGGTCTTCAGCTGTGACCTGGCTACTCCTGGGCTCCCCTGGGTTGGGCACTCACCCTCTGGGGTGGGTTTCAGTGGCATCAGCCATTAATGTGGGAGCCACCTGCTCCTGCTGGCCCAGACCTGACTGCTGTCTTGCAGGATGGGCAAGAGTCATTAACCAGTCTTCCATGTCCTCTGACCTTGGACTTCCTTAGTCTGACCAGAGACCCACTCCCCACTCCCCACTCTGAAGATGCCATCAGCACTGTCCAGCCAAGAAGAGGGTCTGGAATGAAGAAATTCTGCACTCCACGAATCCAGCCCTTGCAGAGAGCTGCTGTCTCTGTGGGCTCGCTAAATCTCCCGTGAGCCAGAGACAAAGCCTGCACTGCTGAGATACACCCCCACATGCTCCCAGTGAAGCCAGGGGAGGGCGGCTGCAGGAACTGGTTACGATGTGGGAGGCAAACTATGAAGGAGTCATTTCCTTATGGCCTCCCAGACAGCTGGCTACAAAATGTTTTCTCTCTTCCAGAAGTTCATTCCCTTTGTGAGCCAGCTCTGTTTCTCTCCCTCCTCATCTCTTTGGAGAAGGGCATCATTTCCCATTCTGATCTCTGACCACCACTCCTTTCGTCTACACAGCTGATCTTTAGAGTGAAAATTCCACTATTTAATGCTATTTACCAGGCACCCAATAGAGTTAAGAGGGACTGCCAGTGTACCCGACTGATGGGGCCCTGCCCTCCCCATCCCCTCAGAGAGAAGACATAAACTGAAGCCTACCCCACAGCATCTGGATGGCCACAGCCTCAAATCCTCTGGGGGAACAGGGTGGGGTGTGTTGAAGTACAAAGATGAATGATAGAGATTGTCCAAGAATGCTAACCATGCAGGGAATGGGGAGTGCAGAGGTGGGACAAGAAAGGAAGCCTCATGCTCGTGGAATATCTAATACCACCAATTGCTGGACACATACCCTTCCTGGTCTGGACTGAGCATCAGCCTGTCTCCTTGGATATTAGGAATTCCTTCAAGAAGGATGGGAGGAGAAGGTCCTTGTTTATCCGCTGAGGCATTGGTGTCACAGTGGAGATAAGGGGGCCAACCCAGCTCAGCAGGAGCCAAGGCATTCATGTCCATCATCTGGGGAGCCACAGATTCAGGTCAGGGTTGCTCCAGATCCAGTTGGACTCACTCACAGGTCTGAGATTCAGTACAGAGAAACCAGACACAACCAAGAATAGTCCCTTGACCTCACTTTCTATCATCTCCCCCAGAAACTTTGGAGTCACAGGGATTGGATAATTTTTTTCCCAAAACTACCCTCCATTCTTTACTGAGTCTTGTTTTGTTTTCCATGTTCAGCTTTTTTTTTTTTTTTTGGGCAATGCTGGGAATGAAACTGTGTCTCATGCCTGCTACCACTGAGCAACATCCTGCCTCTAAGATTCCGCTTTTTAAGTTTTATCTTGTTGCAATACATATATTTTTAGAAAAAATGAAAAGAATCTTCTGGTGGATTCTTATCATACTTAGAATAAAACTGACACAGTCCTGTGGACACCCTCTGTCCATTCTCTCATTCACAGTCTCTGTTCCAGTCACACTGACCTCCCAGCTTCCTTAGTCTGTGGCCCCACTTCCTTAGCCTGTGGCTACTTCTGCCATCTTCAAAGCCAGTAATGGTGAATAAGACTCTAAACTCCCATCTCTCTAGTTCTTTGCAGATGGTAAAGATTATCTGCCTTTTTTTCTTCCTATGATCCTGGGGATAGAACCCAGGGCCTCACACATGCTAGCAAGTACTCTACTGCTGAGCTGCACCCCTAGCCCAAGATTCTCTGCCTTTATGGATTCATGTGGTTATTTATCCAGGATGCCTATATCTAGGATAATCTTCCCATCTCAAAAGTCCTTCATTTAATCACATCTGCAAAGTGTCTTGCCATATATAGCAACACTATCATAGATGCTGAAGATTAGGATTAGAGATATTTTTGAGGACCCCTGCCCCAGCTAACGTAAGTGTTGGCACCTTAACTTATAAACATAGTTTTGTCTCTTGGGTCCAACCTTCATTTTATGTAAACTCTTCTGCATCCCAGCCTCTGTGCCTAGCTTCCACGTCAGGGCTGTGGAGAAACTTTGTTTCATTCTTAGCACTTTCTGTGCCTCTCTAGACACTCAGGGAACACTAAGCCAGTGAATGTTGAGTGAGACATCATCTTGATGAAACTCCAAGATACTCTTTTTTTAAAATATTTTTTTAATTGTAGATGGACAAAATACCTTTATTTATTTTTATGTGGAGCTGAGGATCGAACCCAGTGCCTCTCACATGCTAGGCGAGCACTCTACACTGAGACACAAACCCAATCTCCATGATACTCTTTTAATTGACATGTAATTGTCATACCAAAATAATCATCCTTTAAAAATGTGCAGGTCAGTGGCTTTTCTTTTTCTTTTTCTGTTTTATTTTTTGTAGTTGCAGATTGACAGAATGCCTTTATTTTATTTATTTTTATGTGGTGCTGAGGATCGAACCCAGGGCCTCATGCATGCAAAGCAAGTGCTCTGCCACTGAACTACAGCCCCAGCCCCTAAGTCAGTGGCTTTTAAGACATTCACAAAAATAATACATCAATCAGTACAACTACTAATTCCAGAACATTTCTACCACCACCATAAGAAACTCTGTACCCATTATCCATCATTCCCCACATAAAGGGAATCAGGCACTCTGTGGCCTTTTTGTGTCTGGCTTATTTCACTTGATACAATGTCTGCAAAGTTCATCGATGTTGTAGCAGATATCAGCACCTCATTCCTTTTAAGTGGACCTTCCCTTTGCACATACCTGATATCCATCATACAGCTTAAGAGTAAACGAAGCTTATGCTATCACTGGCCATTCCTGTTCTCTACAGAATATTGCATTGCAGAAGGCTGAGGCAGGAGGATTTTAAGTTCAAGGCTAGCCTGAACAACTTAGGAAGACCCTGCCTCAAAATAAACAATAAAAGGGACTGGGGTGTGGTTCAGTGGTTAAGTACCCCTGGGTTTAATCCCCAGTACCCCCCCCCCCAAAAAAAAAAAGTTGCAGTCAAATGAAGATTCAAGAGTGGCTGTGTTTCTTGAGTTTCACTGTTAATAGGATGCTGGTCAATTTCTGGGGTCTCCTTACTGCTCTTAAACTTACTGTGCCCCTTACAGTGCCTCAAGACAGGTGGGCATGCAGGCCAAGGCCAGTCTGATGGGAAAAGTGGGTGGAGGACCAGGGATGGCCAGCCTGCCTTGGGCAATAGTGTAAGTGTCAGGGAACAACATGGCCTGAGGTCCACCTGGCCTTTACCACAGTGGCAAGGGCAGGCCACAGAGGGCAATATTGTTCACATGACCGGGAAAAGCCACCCAAGGCTCTGAGTAGTGGGTTTTGCTAAGGAAATGCTATTAGTGGATGTTTGGATTCAGGGATGGGACAACCTCAGGGGACCTGTACAACCTCAGGTCTCTCCCTGGAGTCGGGGTACAGGGTGAATAAGAGGGGAGGTTGTTGGGGATGGAGGATTGGGAGGACAAGGCTTGTGTACCATGCCCCTGAGATGGTGGATGTTATAGCTTGGATCTTAATTGTCACCCAAAGGCCCGGGTATCCCAAGGCTTGACCCACAGCTTGGCGCTATTGGGAGGTGGTGGAAATTTAAGAGGTGGGGCCTACTGGCAGGTCTTTAGGTCATTGGGGTCATGCCCTTGAAGGAGACAGTGGGATCCTATCACCTTCCTCTTTCTCTCTTTTGCTTCTTGACCAAGAAATAAGTGGCTTTACTCTACCCTGCTCCTACCATGATATGCTCAAAGCAACAAGCACAACCAATCACAGGCTGAAAACTCTAAAACTGTGAGCCAAAATACAACCTCTCTCTAATTTCTTTGGTCCAGTACTGGGCATTGAACCCAGAGGTCCTCTACCACTGAGCCACATTCCCAAGCCTTTTTATTATTTTTACTTTTGAGACAGGGTCTGGCTAAGTTGCCCAGGCTGGCCTCAAAATTGAGATATTCCTGCCTTCACCTCTTCAGAATCTAGGATTAAAGGCATAAGCCACCATGCCATGCAATCTTTCTTCTTTATAAATTCATTATCTCAGATATTTGTTATAGTAATAGAAGATTGGTCAATATAATGTCTCAGTCTATCTGGGCTGCTATAACAAAATGCCACAAAGTGACTTACAAACAGTAAGAGACGCATTTCTTAAGCCAGGTATGGTGGCACAGATCTATAACTCCAAGTGACTCAGGAGACTGAGGCAGGAGAATCATAAGTTTGAAGCCAACTTTGGCAATTTAATAAGTCCCTGTCTCAAAAATAAAAAGGTCTGTGGATGTAGCTCAGAGATAGAGTGCCCCTGGGTTCAGTCTCTGGCATTCCTACACACACACACACATACACACACAGAATATTTCTTATAGTCCTGGAGGCTGGAAGTCCAAGGTCAAGGTATGGCAGAGTCAATGTTTGGTACATGTTCTTCCTGGTTCATAGATGGCCACTTCTCACTGTCCTCACATGGTGGAGGGAGCAGGGAGCTCCTGGGCCTCCTTCATAAAAGGCAATAATCCTATCCATAAAGTCTCTACTCTTGTGACTTCATTAGTTCTCCAAAGACCCCACTTTATAATGCCACACCTTTGGGGTTAGGATTTCAACCCAGGAATTTTGTGGGGATCCAAGTATTCAGACCAGAGCTGATGAGAACTGAACAGTACTGTCCCTGAAGGGTACTATAGATGGACTTAACCTATTCTATGATTTTATGGAGAGTGGGGCCAACTTAGCCAAGTCTCAAAAATAGCAGCCATTCCCATGAGAACAGCAGCAACCAAACTTGAAGCCAGGCAAGGTGATGTACATCTGTAGTCCAAGCTACTCAGGAGTCTGAGGCAGGAGAACTGTTTTGAGCCCCAGAGTTTGGTGCCAGCCAGAGCAAATGGTGAGATCCTATTAAAAAAAAAAAAGTGGAAAAACAAAAACTGTTGGCAAAGATGTGGAGACTCTGGTTTCTGATAAAATTAAGCAGAGAGAGGCTGGGCGTGTAGCTCAATGGTAGAGCACGTGGCTGGCATGTGCAGGGCCTGGGATCCATCCCACGCACTGGGAAAGAAAGAAAGGAAAAAAAAAAAAGAAAAATATAAACAAAAAAATACCACATAATTCAGCAATTCCACTTCTAGGTATACAACCCCAGAGAATTGAAAATAGGAACTCAAATAGTTTTATGTGCATGTTCGGAGTAGCAGTATTCAACCAGAACATCCACTGATGGATGAATGGATAAACAAAATGTGGTCTATTCATATTATTCAGTCATAAAAAGAAATGAAGCTGTGACATGTCTACAACAGCCGGATTCATAAAAGCAAAGCAGATCGGTGACTGTCAGGGACTGTGGGCTGGAGGGAATGGGGAGTGACTGCTAATGGGAACGAGGTTCCCTTCTGGGTCTGATAAAATGTTCTAGAACAATTGAACCACATTGTGAATTTCCTAAGTGTCCCTGGGTTGTTCTCTTTAAATAGTTGATGTTATATTATGTCAATTTCACCTCAACTGAAAAATAAGCACACACATTGGTGCCCTTGGCAGCACTATACCTCTGTGGAGGGTGGTTTTGCTCCTACCTTTCCTGGTTCAGAAGCTGGCCTGGTGGCTAGTCTGGTAGTTTCTTTGCCAGGCCCCTTTGTCCTCCTCTGAGCAGTGCCACCCTGTTCTGCTTCTCTCCTAGCACCATCGTGTGGTACCACATCATGGCCTGGGGCCTGGCCCTCCTGCTCTGTGCAGAGGGAGCTGTCATGCTGTACTACCCCTCTGTGTCCAGGTAAGCCTCAGTGGCCCAGTTCTTATAGAAAATGAGCCGGTCTGACTCACACAGTGGGGGCCTTGGCGCTCAGCCCCTCCTCTTGGCCCCGAGAGGCCACACTCACAGACCCATCTAGCTGAGAGACAGTGTGCTCACTGCATCCTTGCTCCCCAGATCTTTCCCCTGGGTCTATCTTTCTTCTCATTTGGGTGGGTGGGTGCCTGAGCATACAGCGTGCATGCGCAGATTATACCCCTCCTCGTAACTAGAAAGATGCAGGGACAGCCCCTTCCATCTTGCCATAGCTTCCTCACACCTGTTCTTTAATACTGAAAGATCAGGCGAGTTTAACGTTCTGAGGATGAGTTCGAAGTGATGTGGCCGAGGCAAGGGAAGCTTCTGGAAGCTGGCTCTATGCCTCTCCCATCCTATGCTCTTGGCTACCCTGAACACAGATGCAGAGGAATGTGGTTCTGGAATTGTCTCAGGCATTTCCTCATTTAAAATCCCAGCAGTGCCATCATTTGCAAGGTCTCAAAGCCCAACCAAGGATGCGGGCTCTCACTTCCACTGGAAAACAGGTGGATAGTGTCTTTTTGTGATTTTAGGGTTCTGTAGGTCACACACAGATCATCATAGTATAGCCTTTAGGACAAATCTGGCCCTTGACCTGTTTTCATTTTATTATATTTTAATTTTGGGTACTGGGGATTGAATCCAGTAGTGCATTGTCCCTGGAACTACCTTCCCAGCCCTTTTTATGTTTTTTGTTTTGAGACAGACTCTCATTAAATTGAGGAGGCTGGCTTCAAACTTGCCATCCTCCTATCTCAGCCTCCTGGTTCACTGGGATTACAGGTTTGTGCAATCACGTCTGGCTGGTTATTTTAAATGAAATTTTACTGGGACACAGCCACACCCATTTATTTATGTTCCAACTGTGACTGCTTTTGTGATATAATCAGAATTGAGTAGTTGCAAGAGACCATGGTGTGCCCTATGAAACTGAAGAAAAAGAAATATTTTTTTTTCCTGTGGTACTGGGGATTGATTCCATGGGGACTCTACCACTGAGCTACATTTCCAGCCCTTTTTTGAGTCAGGGTCTTGCCAAGTTGCTGAGTATGGCCTCAAACTTGCCAGCCTCAGCCTCCAAGTAGCTGGGATTATAGGCATGTGCCACCCCACCTGGCTTTATTATCTCTCTTTATATAAAAAATTTGTTGACTCATGGTGTTAGTCATTCCTCCCCAGTTTTTTGACTTCTCACAGCTACTCAGACATCTCAAATTGGTGTTGCCTTGTCAACTGTGGATATTGACAGAGAGCTAGCTAGCTCTCTCCTGCTTCCCGACTCCCCTAGAGTCTGTCCAGAATGTGTGGAAGCCTGGTATGGTCACTTTTCACGGGGAACTTCAAAAGGACAGACACAGTGTCACAGCTGTTCTAACAGAAGGATCTTAATAGGAAAGGGAGTTTCTTTTACTTGCCTTCACCTGTGGGACCCTGGTGACTTCTAGAAAAATTACCTTGGAGCCTGAGGGCACCACTGCTACAGGGCTGGCTCACAGGGAACCCTGAGGTGCTCCTATGGGCTCCAGGAGGCCACCTGATCTAAGCGTCTTAATCTGTAAATGGCTATCTCTCTTCCTTTTTAGGGGGCTGCGGGGAATACCCGGGATAGAACCCAGGAATGCTTTACCACTGAGCTATATCCCCAGTCTTTTTCATTTTTTAAATTTTGAGGCAAGATCTTGCTATGTTGCTGAGGCTAGCCTTGAACTTGCAATCCTCCTGCCTCAGCCTCCCAAGTGGCTGGGATCACAGGTGTGTGACACCTTAATCATCATTAAGAGATCATCATCTCTTAGTCCTCACATCCTGCAGTGCAGACCTCTTGGCATTCTTGTAGCCACATCCTCACTCTCTCATTGGCCATTTGATTTCCATCTTTGCAATGGAATCTGCCACTCCCACTCCTCTCCTGCTTCCCATACTTCCCTAGAGTCTGTCCACACCATGTGGAGCCTGGTAAGGTGTTTGACCACCACACAAATATTAATGTTAAGTATTAAGAGCATTTTCATTTTTATGGTGGTAACTTCCATGGCCACAGGGACACTTCTGCCTCTCTCTGATTGGGCCTCAGGCATCCTCTGTCCCCTTTCTTCATTTATCATTTCCTCTGTGCCATTTTTCTCTCATTGACTTTCTGTGTATCTTAGCTGATGGTCCCTATTGGTAACATATCAATGGCTTTCACCACCTTCTCTTACCACCATGTCCTATGGTGACTCATGATGCTTATGACTCATCAGTAGAAATCCTAGTCCTTTTCCCTGAAAAGAACCACTGAAGAGTTGGTTGTTACTCCTAATGTGAGAAGGAATTTCCTTTGACATATGAAGGTCATACATTTGAATAGATCAAGGACAAGGACTGGATTTTTTTCATGTTATTGGCTGAGATTATGTAGTAAGTACTCAAAACCTAACTAGCTAATTAGTGCTTTTGTCTCTAAATTGTGTTTTCCCTTTGAAGAGACCTAGTGCAAAGAATCATCTACCATCCCAGATTTCTTTTCCTTTCTTACCTCTTCCAGTAGGGTTTTTTGTTTGTTTGTTTTTGTACTGAGTATCGAACCCAGGGGCACTTAACCACATCCCCACCCCTTTTTATTTTTTTGTTTTGAGACAGGGTCTCCATAAGTTGCTTAGGTTCTCACAAAGTTGCTGAGGCCAGCCTTAAGCTTGCAATCCCCCAGCCCCAGCCTCTTGAGTTGCTGGGATTACAGGCCTGCGTCACCATGCCTGGACCAGTAGTGATCTTTAAAAGCTGCCCCCACTGGAAAGGTTCAGAGGCTCTCCTATTTATAGGACAGAAACATGAACAATCTCCCTGAGTCTCCTGAAATTTATTGCTTCTTCTTGGACATGAGAAACGAGTCTGATTTCTTTCAGAGTCTGGGCAGATTTATGCATTTCTTTTTTGTTGTTCTTATCCTCTTATCTCAGCCTGCAGATAAGTGGGTATATTCCAGCCAAAGCTTTTCTTTCAAGAAGAATGATTTGCTGTTCCTCCCTCAGGTGTGAGAGAGGCCTTGACCATGCCATCCCACACTATATCACCACGTACCTGCCACTACTGCTCGTTCTGGTAGCTAACCCTGTCTTGTTCCAAAAGACAGTGACAGCAGGTAAGTAGCAGGGAAGTTCTCTGGGTACAAGGCCATGGGGTATAGCTGCATCTCTTGGGCTGAGATGATAACATGTTGTCCTTCTGGAATGATCCAGGACAATGGACCTCACTCATCATCCTCCAGAGACATAAGCAGAATACAGATGGAGACAGTGAACAGGTTTAGTAAGAAAAACTGAGCAGAAAGCATACTTAGTTGAGCACTACATGTTTGCCAATGTTTGTTAGCTTAAGGCCAGGACTAGCTGATTTTTCACTTTTGTGTGAAGCTCATCCTGGGTCTGCCCTTGGCACGCTTGTAGGCTCTGAAGGTGGCCTTGGAAAACTGCAGAGGTGAGACAGGAGCAGGAGAGTGAAGTGGATCCCGGAAGGGATGAGGCATGGACAGAAAGGTCTAGACACTCCCATAATGCACTTGGCCTAGTCCAGACACTCCCATAATGCACTTGGCCTAGTCCAGACACTCCCATAATGCACTTGGCCTAGTCCAGACACTCACATAATGCACTTGGCCTATGCCAGTTCTCAGACAGGCAGGAAACAGGAAGTGGAGCACAGGAAATGAGTCATTTGGGATGGGGTAAAAACTAGATCAGCGGAATGTAGCGAGTACCCAGAGAGACCCTGGGCCAGGACTGGGAACCTGCATTCCGGCCCTGTCGTCTCCTCAAGAAAGCGTGACCTGGAGAGAGTGCCCACCTACTCAGGCTGCCTTGGATCTCTCAAGGGCAGAGTTGGAGTGAGGAAGTCCACCTTAACGAAAGGGGGAAGCTCCTGATTGTAGCACTTTTTAATAACATCTTTTATTCTTTGGAAGAGTCTTTTCCTATGTGCATTTAAATATAGTGCATTAAATAAGAGAATTTATTTTTTCAAAATTGTATAATGACTTGCTTATATGGAACACACACACAAAAAAAATGACTTAAAAAACATTGAAAAGAAATACACTGTGGGGGTTACAGGTGGAAGCCCAGTGGTAGAGTGCTTACCTAGGATGCATGAGACCCTGGGTTCACTTATCAGTCCTGCAAAACAAGAACAAAAACGAAATATACGGCAGTGGTAGCAGTGGTTGTCTTTGTGGGAGGGACCACTGACGATTCTTTTTTTTTTTTTTTTTTTAGTGGTGCTACGGACTGAACCCAGGGCCTAGCACATGCTAGGCAAGTATTCTACCCCTAAGCTAAACCTTCAGCCATTAATTAAAAATACACACACACACACACACACACACACACTTTGCACTAGGGATTGAATCCAGAAACATTTAGTCACTGAACCACATCCCCAGTCCTTTTTATTTTTATATTTTTTTGAGGCAGACTCTTACTAAATTGCTTAGTGCCTCAGTAAGTTGCTGAGCCTAGCTTCAAACTTGCAATCCTCCTGTCTCAGCCTCTTGAGTCTCTGGGATTTCAGGTCTGTGCCTCTGCGCCCAGCTCTATTTAATTATTCTCCAAACTTTTTTGTAGGTGTTCTAACCTGTTTCTAAGAAGAAATGTTAAATTTTCAACATTTTAAAATAATAAGTGCCTTATTTTATAAAAAAGAAAAAAAATACCTGAACTAGTAAAATCCAATAAAATTGGAAGTTTAGTTCCTAATGTATCAGTGTTATTTTCTTAGTTGTGACAAGTATCCTGTGTTGTGTTTGATGTTAACATCAGAGGAAGCTGACTAAAGGGAATGGGCATACAGTAAATCTCAAGTTATTTAAAATACATATTCCTTGGATCCTATAAGGACTTCACATGGGTAGCTGGGAGGGTGACGTCAATAACTTGCTTCGCTTTAGATCTTCTGGCCTTGTTTATGGGCTCACACCTGCTTTGATGCCCTTCTCTGTTATGAAATAAATAAGAATGATGAACACAGTAAGTATGTCATTCCCCTGTGCTCTTCACAGTGGCCTCTTTACTGAAAGGAAGACAGGGCATTTACACAGAGAACGAGAGGCGAATGGGAGCTGTGATCAAGATCCGGTTTTTCAAAATAATGCTGGTTTTAATCGCTTGGTAACTTTTTTTTTTTTTTTAATTGCCAGTGGGATGGGATTTGCAAACTACTTACCATTTTTCTCTTCCATTTGTGACCTGTGAGTTCTTAAGGGAAGCATCTGGAAGGGACATCTCTGAGCAAGTCTGGAATTCTGAATTTGTGGCAAAAACTGAAAATATTTACTTGATTTAGGCATAAAGCCCCAAGAATAAGAGGTTCCGAGTTTAATTTTGAAACAACTGTGCGTAACCCCTTACTGAGATTCTGGGATTAACCAAAATGAGGGAGGTGGTAACGTTTGTTTGTTTGTTTGTGGTGCTAGGAATTTAACCCTGGGCCACGTGCGTGTGAGGCAAGCATTCTACCAACTGAGCTATATCTCCAGCCCCATGCATTTTAAATGCACCCATTGGCCTTGTTTTTGACACCAGAATTCCTGTGTGCGATAGAGGGGTGAGGACACATCTCCAGTGTAAAGATTCAGCTCAGTCAAAGCTGGATAGAAAGGCTTAGCTAATTTCTTTTGCTGAGATTCTCCATGTCTGGTATCCTACCCAAATGTTTCAGATGGATGCTTTGAAAATAGACTTATAACCAATGCAAAAAAAA